TCCAAAAACAAACAACAAAATAAAATGTATCAGACAAACTACTGCATGTTGAGGTTTGCATGGAAGCTCTAATCTAAATGCAAAATGTCATTAAAACCTACTGGTGGCTCAGTTCTACATTTTCAGGTGTTTTTTTTTTCTATTTTAGTTGAAAGACCACCAACCAGGATCCACCTGGGATGTTAACACAGTAACACAGTGTGACCAGCTGGCCTGTCCCATCTGTAATATATGCTGAGGCAGTGACAGACACAGACCATGAAACAAAGATTCAAAAGATTTGCACAGCGCTAGTATCATCCTAGAGTCGGTCATGAGCAAGAGTAGTGACAGATGAGGTCACGTTCAAAACTAAAGAAGTCACGATGACCTCATTCTAGAAGTTTGGAGAACCATCTCTTATTTATTTATATGTATGTATGTGTTTATGTATTCATATACATACACATACATATATAAAACAAATAAGATAGTTCTTAATAAAAAAATAAATATCATAAATAATTTTATTTTGACTTTCCTAGTGGAGCTTGAATGGTTTGTTTGGACACCAAAATCAGGCTTTCTTCAACCTTTATTCTTTGTAAAATGTCAATGCCAATTTTTTTATAGACAGGTTTTTTTTTTATTGTAAGCAGTTAAAAAAATAAATTTCGGTTGTTTTTCCACAGACACCTACTTTTTTGTTTATTTTATTTTAATTTATTTTACTCCACAATAAAAATAATCAACAATATTTGTCAACCAGGCTTTTTCCTTGAAATGCACATCCCTGCACAGAGTCTGCTCTCCTTAAAATGTGTATTTTGAGGTGATTTTTTTAAACAAACCGTTACTTATTCACTTCATATTTGCAATAAGACTGGTTAGTTGATATGAAAAAGAAAAGAAATTTGTATTCCCTGTCCAAACAGAGCAGATAGTCATTTTGGGAGTTAGATTAAAACATTTATAACAAAAGCATAACATGCGGTGCTTGAGTAATATTAAGCAATAAAACAATTTAAAGCATTTTTAAATTGTTCTAGTAAACTATTAGAATGAAATTATGAGCCTGTAAATGAACAATACGAACTCCTTACAAATTTCATTTGAGCACACATTCAAAAATTGGGATAATTTTTGAACTTCTGTGTGAGCAATGGATAAGAGTCACAGCACAGAAGAAACTGAACAATGGTGGAGAGCAAAGTCGAACATTAAAAAGTAATAAAGACGGTGGTGGTGGTGATGGGAAGCTTCCTGTAAATAACAAGTTAAGATCTTCTCTGAGAGTCAGCTGAGGGGCAGAGTTCAGCAGCTCGGCTGACATTCGGAAATTCCTGGCAGGAAATTCCCTTTATCTTGTCGGGAGCCAGTGGCTCAGCCCAGCCCAGGCCATCATAGTCATCATCATTATCATTATCATCAGACACAGAGTCAGTTGCTCTGCATGACTACTGGACAGAAGAGCATAGACACAGAGAGAAACAACAGCAAAGATAAGATGATACTGAATGTGCGCGTGTCTTTGAGGAAGAAACCATTTCTTCTCGCTTGCCTGGAGTGAACAAATGCACATGAATGTCTGGATGTTTTTCAGGTCAAATTTTTTTTCTTTAATTTCCTTCACGTTACATAACATTTTCCTCAACACAAACTTTGCAGTCTCCATCAGTTTATTGTATAACAATATCTGTATTCAGCATGCATTTTTTTTAAAGAGTGGCTGTTTTCTTCCACCCTTTTTGTCCCTTTTCTAGTCTTATGATCACATGCTGCACAAGCTGAAGTACTAAGACCTTATGAGCTGCTTATTATTATAATTTAAATGCATGATGTCGAAAGGCAAGCCACTTAGTCTGACTGGTGGGAGTGACCTGACACCCACTGGTGTTTGCGCAAAGTTTTAAAGCAACATTACACTTTTCTTTTTGTGTTGCATCACAGTGAAGTGGTACAGTGTTTATGAGGTGCAGTTCAAGCAATGATGCAAAAACACTCCATCGTCTTTTAATCTTATCTACATTTATTACAAATTTAAATGGAATGACACACATGATGGAAAATGAAAAAATTATCTGAATGACTCATAGGAAGTTACAATAAGATACTAAAATAGAGGACAAAATCCTGATTGTGATTCAAACCACTGAAGATACCATTTGAGTGTCAAAAAGTCAACACACAATATCATTTAGTATTTATATGGAGGACGTTCGGTGACATTGGAAAAAAAGAAATTAATGTGTGGCCGCGAGATAGTTATGTCATGCCATGAGATAGTTATTGTAGTCATTTCCATGCAGAGACTGTTGATTGTTAACATGAAGGATTTTGAATTAATTTCTTTTAACTTTAATATAGAAATACTTCAGTCACTTGAAGTTAGGCATGGAGTGATTCTTAGCTTTACACTGTATGTTGCAGCTATAAGACACAGGTGACGACTGGAGTTATATTTATCCAAAAAGCATTTTTCTAAAGCTTTACACACAAAACATGCTCCAAGGAGTCAGAGTTATATGACATTCAGGAACACAGTAAAAACTTTGTTTCCCGACACACATTTAAAGTGCTCAATGTCATCTTGTAAATACTAGTAGGCTGTGATGAAAAATGTACCATTTAGATTGAACCATGGAGGTACGCTCTTTGATTTAAACTTAAAAACAATAATTGTGTGGTACTGTAGAAATCAGCGTCGTCCAAAAAGGGAAGTCTGAATAATAGCAGAGACCCACTTGGATATCTTTATAAATCTTTATACTCATCTGACTCCAATCAGCTCCAAACAGTAGTACACAGCACAGGCCTCAGAGTGAAAAGCCTTGAGCTTGTATCTGGAGACCAAAACAAAAACAGTCCGGTCTGTTCCAGGCTGAATCTAAGCAGAGACTCTCTGCACGACTCAAAACTTCTAAAAACTCCTTAAAAATTTCTACTCAAATGATTGACCTTATAACGCAGGGCTATTCAACTGGCGGCCTGCAGGTGACCAAAGTTCCGCCAATTAGTTCATTCATCTCTTAAGCCCAAAGCCCCGGTTTTCAACTTTAATTACTAAGACTTCTTTTAGTTAAACACAGACATGTTTGGTAGGATCAGGATCTTGGCTACAAGCTGGTATAAAAAACATTTCTATAAACACCCAAGACAGTTAAAACAGCAAGCAGTTGAAGATAAAATAAAACTATGAAAATGAAAATAAAATTGGTTTAAAATTTGGAGATGTCAAACTATTATTTGTGGTAAACAAGAGTTATTTTTGTTTTTTATGTTGTTTTATTATCACTACTTTTATTATATAGGATTCTGTATGTTGTATTTATGATTAAATCCAGCAAAATAAACTATTTCAAAGGTAACAGATATTTGTAACATTTGGTTTATTTACACAATGACTTTAATTGCTGGATGTTTGGGCTCTCAGCTCTTGACCGGCAGTAACTGTGTTCCCCGGAGCAATTTAGTTGAATAGCCCTATTATAACGCATGTCTCCTCCTGGTTACATCCCTGAAGGTGGTAACTTTTAAATCAGAGTAGAATGTAACTATTTTTTGTTTATGCTACAGAAAGAACACATGATAGGACACACACACAAACACACACATAGACACACACAGTCTCAGTTTTAAACCTTAAGGCTGCAATGATCAGAAAGTATGAAACAACACTGGATCTAACATTCAGTTAATCGTTTACAAAATTTCCTTCAGTACCTTTGAACAGTTAAACACAAAAACAGCATATTCAAATATAATCTGACTCCTATAATGTCTGTATCAAAATTATCTGTGGCTACACATTAACCAACTCATTAATTTTAATCCAGTGTCACCGGACGGGCTCCGTATAGTTACCTTAACTTTTTGATGGTTGTAAAACACCACTTTTTCACTGTATAACATGCTGTACTGAAAAAGATCACTCAACATTAACAAATCTGCTCTGCTCAGTTTGTTTTGACATTTGTAACTCTCAGTACATTCTTACCTGATGATGCGCTGGGCAGCGTATTGGTGGAGGCATCGGAACTGGGCAGACATGTTGGCAAGTGCAGCAAGACAGTTGGTGTGGAGGTACTTATCCTAAAAGAGGACACAACAAATAAAAGCTGCATTTGTATATTACTGAGTGACGGAACTACCAACGTTCTTTAGAGCAGATGTCTAATTCGCAAACTTAATGCATGAATCTGCGCTCGTCTTACCCTCGTCCGTGTCATGTTGAACTGGATGGTGCGGATGACAACCAGAATGAGCAAACTGCCAAGTGAGATCTCTGTCAGTGACCTCTCTGTGTACCAGGAAATGTTCTTCAGCACCTGTGAGAGAAAGTGGGACAGTAGGTGACATGTGTCTGCTGAACGTGTCAGGAATGATTGACGAGAATCGCAGTGAGTGGGCATAATGAGTGGCTTCCCTCACAGGAGCTGAGCTGCGGCGTGCATGATAAAAAAGTGTGTGTCTACGTACCACCTCGTGGATGGAGCGATTGAAGGCATCATCCTCTGTAAGAATGAGGAGAATAATAAGGGCCATGTAGACATGATGAGAATTTCTCTCCTCTACATGGTAAAGGATCTCGAGGATGGGCAACACCTGAGAGACAAATGGGAGAAAGAGCTCAGCAGACAGTACACGTCTGTTTATCTTAGTAGTTATATTTTACAACACACTTGGTGTAACTTTACTAAAGATAAATTTGCCTTCCAGAGTTTTTTTGTCACCTTTAAAACAAAAGTTTTTTCAGACTTTCTAAAGTTTTTTTAACGTTTCATCGAAGCTGATCATTTTCAGAAGAATTGTTCTTAAAGCTACTTCACATGGATGTATGCATCCCGAACCAGTGTTTGTCTCTACAAAAAAGACAACGAATTTTAGGCCTGCTGTCTTTTATTTTGTCCTCCAGTTGTCAGATTTTCTCAAAAATACTACTTTATGACTTGTAAAATGTTTTAATTTGAGCCTTTTTTAATAGCTAGAATTTGTGAGATGGGAACAAATTATACGTCTTTGTGACAAACTGACAATTAAGCATTTCTTATTTATAGATACAACTTGGGTTCATCCCTTCAGGGGATCAGGTGCCTTTTTTACTGCTTCAATGAGTCATAAAGTACAAGAAAAATGTAGCAAATGTTAAAAAAAGAAAGAATGGATTGGACCTACAGATTCAGATTAGGTGTGTGAATGTGTTTTTATTTTAAATGTCAGCAAACTATCAGCTTTATTGTAGTTTTCTGTTTTGATTATTTTAACCGGAGTTCCTACTTTTATGTTTCATTCAAAAACATCAAGAAGTGGAAAAGAACATTATTTGTGAGTCCACTGTACTTGAATGTTTTTCTAAAAATTATTTTATTTGCTAAACATATCATAACTCTATACTGACTATCCCACATGAAGAGAAAAGCACCACCTGTCGCAGCACACAGTTATGTCAAAAGATTTCAGGGCCACACCAATACATGCTTCGAAAAGCTACATAATGACTTTTATTAACCATAAACCAGGCACACCAAGATTGATTTTTTGCCTCTGTCTGTCTGAATGAAATCAGGGTCACTTTATAATCTTCCCACCCACCAGATTATCCATGTCAGTTCTTGACAGGATGTACGTCCTCAAGTTGGCGTTCTGGTGGAGCAGAGTGTAAAGCAGTAAAGTGGCTTGGTCAGAGCGTTGCTGCTCACACAGAGCTGTATAAAGACTGTTGAAATTGATCTGGAAACTGTGAGGTTGATCCACAGGCAGCGATGACGTGTCTACAGAAAGAAAGAAAAAAAGAGTAAACACTGGGAGGTTTACTACTAACACGTCTTTAATGACATCCGGCTCAAGTCATATATTGTAAATAAAAGTCTCAATCATAAACAATGAGATAAAAAGGATGATATGCCTGCTGTACACTCGTTATTACCTTGTGTGTTTCGGAAACAAGTAATAGCCTGGCGATAGGGGTTTGGCCAGTCAGGCCCATCTGTTAGATTGGATAATACCAGCAGTAACAGAAGACTCTGATTGGATAAAGGTAAGGGACCGTTTTCCTGGTCTACCCCTCCTTTACTGCCAGCTCCACCCAGTGTGAAGACACTCCACAGACCACCTGTAAGAGAACAATTTTTTAATGATACATTTTCTCTTTTTAATTTAAATAATTTTAATAAACCTGCTATAACAAACACTAATTTAATAATGCCATGTGTGGTAATTAAACAATCAGCATTATTCTATGGGATTTACATCAGTCTAACATTTTTATAGAATAGAACAAGAATTTATTGCCATTGTATCAATGCAACAAAACTGAAAAATGTAGTCTGTAGTGCAAAAATAATAAAATGCAATTAAAAAAACAGCACATTTAAAAGGGAACACAATTCATAACACTGAGAATATTCACAGTGCAGTAAAGTCAAAGAGGTTTCATCTTTGACAAGGCCAACTTTTGTTTTAGCTTTAAATATAAATGTGCTACAGTGGTAGGAAATTCAATGCCAGCTCTTTATCCAAGCAGTGTTAACCCAGTAACCAATTCATCATGCTTGACACGTACTGTTCCTTACTTTTGGGTGTAACTGTATCATTAATTTTAAATTGACATGCTAAACATTAATGCAAACAGCTCGTATTTTAACATCCACCAGTTTAGAAGCAACATTATTATTCGTGTGATGTTGTGTTTCTTTTCCTGTCAGACAGATGCCAATGCAATATTTATCGTTATTTGGTTTTGCTAGAGGGAAATGTGGCGCTTGAGCTGCTAAATATTCAGTTTTGCTCAGTACTTTGAGGGAAATGGTGTGTGCTTTTCAGCAAAGAGGGATGGGTGCAGTAAGTATGAGAACTTTTTAGTTGTGAACAGTTTTTAGAGCTCAAAATGATAAGGGGGAAAGCAGTGAGCCTGAACCAAAACAGCTAAAACGATGTGCTAAAACTCACATGGAATACATGCAAATATGAGTGGAAGCTGCTGCAAGTGACTCTTATCTCACTGTAATTTGTTAGAATGTCATTATTGGAATAAAATCTTTAGTTTTAATATAAGGCTAGGTCAATAATTTCAGTTGTAACTCTCAACTATTCAAAACGAACAGTAAAAATAAGCAGATAGGGGCTTGTCTGCCATTTTATAGACAGATTTTCAAATAAGTCTTCAGTTTTGTATCTGATAAATCCATGTCTAAATAATGAACTGAAAACATTAGGTGTGCTCCGACTGATGTAATCACGACCAAAGTGAGCACAATAGAGTCACACAGAATGCTTTGCAGAACCTGAAATTTGAAACAACACAGCCGGCGCCACCGAACAAAGAGAAACTGGAACTGCTGGCCAGCGGGAGTGGGTGAAGGAAGTTGTTTTGCTGTTGGGGATTAGAGACAGAGATGAACGAATTTCTTGCAGAGCCACTATAGTGCCGGCCCTTTCAGGCATCACATAAAGCTCGAGAAACACAAACCCCAAGATATACAGATGACAGTCTCTGGCTCCTCCACGTCTAGCCTGACAGAATGCACAATGAGCAGTGAGAGGGTTGCTCATCAAGCTACTGAACTGGAGGCAAACACAAGTAGATCTGTTGCCATCTAGAGGTGGTGACAGGAAGAGCAGAGCATAATTCATTTACATATTTTCTACTTGACTGAAAAGTGCCCTGCTGGAACGTGTCTAATAAATTGAAGCAGAGTTTAATTTAAATGTTAGTTGGGAGTAGGCTCTTTGATCAAGGGTACTGTGCTAAGAAAAAAGTGACATTCAAGTGTTTTTTCCCCATAAAAGCACATAAATGGACTCAAGGATCAAATTATGAATTATAATTTTAATAAAATCCAAACAAGACACGTATGCCCCGCCCTCCTCAAGGTTCCAGACTGGTCCATTCCAGTTTGATAGAGGGGTTTACGACTATATTGAAGCACAGAAACAGTTTACAAATTGATTAAAAAATGTCAACAAGGGAAGACGTCCATCCAGCCTCACACGTTGGAGCCAGAGTCTGACCCAAAGCCAGAGGAGAATGAAGACCACCACATTGTAGTTGCAATTCCATTGCAAAAAATCATGACGTAGTAGTTCAAAAAATGTCATAGAAAATAGAGAAAACGAAATAAGTTGAAAATATAACCCAAACAGAATATAAAGATATCTATGCAGCACCAGGAGAAATTAAATTAAACTTTTCTGCACACCTAGAGACTACAAGTACACAACAAAATGTATTTAACAGCTAGAAAAAGTGGATTTTTTGATGATTTGTTCCTTTTAAATATCTGTGCTAAAGAACATTAAAAAGTGATTAAGAAATTAAACGAAAAAACTAGAGAGAATTTATATAGTTGCAGTTTGTCACACTTTGCACACACATGGCTGTCGACTTTTTCTCCACTGGTCAAAAAAACAGAAGTGAGAGAGAATGAGACTGAGTGAAAGATGACGAAGCCCTGTTCATCACATCACTGGCACCGGAGCGACTGGTCCAGCAGTGTCACAGAGACGGGTCTGGCAGCCACATTTCCTGAACTCCCTCACACTCGTTATTTTACCTTCACGGGGGCCATTTGTTATTCGTCTGGCTTGGTGCCCCTCTGCCTGTCTGGCTGCCTACCCCATAAACCCAATAATGTTACACTGCTTAGGCTGTTCCGGCTCTGGCCAGTAACTCTGTGGGAAAAGAGGAGGAGGAGGAGGACATGGAGAAGAGAAAGAGGAGAGTGAAGAAAAGAAAAGGTCACACTCTGACAGAGAGGCTGGTATACTGGACGTCAGTGCTTGGGGGCATTGAAGGCTCCTGACTATGAGGCACGCAACACATCTGTCCCCTTTTCACAGTCAGTTTCTTCTTTGAAACAAGCTTTATGATCTAAAATTCTTAATGACTTTCCAGCATGAGAACACACAAATCCATTTGCCCCAAAACTGTTAACTATTAAATATTAGAATACAACACAAACTGTTGATTCTTAATAAGACTTGGTTTTGGGCCTTAAGGCCAAAATGAAGTCTTACATAATTTCCACTAACATCAGAGACATTACCATTGATAAATAATAATAATAATAAAATGAATTAAACACTGACAATCAAACCATTAAATAACATGAACTATTAAAGCAGCTCAGTGACAATTATATTCAGACGGTAAATGGTACTTCTATTTAAAAAATTTTGGCTATCCAGGCAACTCAAAGCACTTTACATCACTAAAACATTTATCTGAATAAATCATCCCACTGTATAATCAGTGCTTTATATCCCATTCATACACCAGCTGGATATTTTGTGGTTGATTAACTGAATTTTAGATAGTTTTACACGTTATACTTAGTAATCAATGGCAGTCATTTATTTTAAACAGTAACAGAATTAACAAGTCTCTATTTACTGTAATATATGGGCCTCGCTCCAGCAGTGTAAATGAAAACATAAAAAGGGGCGCACCGATTTCCTTAATTTTGGGAGTTCGGCCGATATTTAAAATTGATAGAAAAGATCGGCTTCTCATCTACCTCCACAAAGGTCTGAAAATCAGCCACTGTCTCGTTGTTTTCTGCTGTGAGCACTACCTAATGTCCAGTTTAAACAAGTTTTTATTGTTTCAAGTGTATCGTTCAATGGTTTTCAATAAAATAAAACTGGAACATTGAAGGTGTATTATGACCTTATAACACCTCACAGTGTCAGCTATTTAAAATTTCGGTATCGGCCAAAATCGGAACTGGCAGGTTAGACTTTTTAAAGATCAGTGAATGACCAGAAAACTGCAATAGGTGCACCCCTAAAACACAATTGTTTAACATTTCAGGAATTCCAATGCTCTCCTAAGAGGGACCAACCCCAGGGGTGTGACCAGGTTTTCTATAAATATTATGAGAATATGTGATCGACGGCCATTTTGTTTAGACTTCTGGAGCCACCGACAGGCTCGCAGTGAAATGGATTCTTTGGATCTGAAAAGAAACATTTAACTGAGAACTTAATAATTTTCTGTGTATTATTCGGGCTTCCAATTGGAACAATTGTTTACACACCGATGGGCACATAGAAGAAAATGAGTGGTTCAGAGTCTTGCCTATGGGCACTTACGGCCAGGAATCGAACCTCAGACTTTCTCTTAAGAGTTTCTCTCATTTCTGATCAATGGCCACCCTGCAAGATGCCGACTTTGTGAGTCACAAACGCACACATTCATGATTATTTAATTTATTATTTCAGTGAGTAAACGTAACTGTAAAAAAAAAAAAGAGTTTGCAAAATTATTACTTTAATCTATTTTAAGAATGCTGCAGCAGTCAAACAGTTAAGATTTTCAGCCTGAATCGTGCCATTAATGTGCCCATTTCTGTTATAGTCAGTAAAAAAATCATACAATCAGGCCGGGTAAATAAATACAATCCTCCCAATAAAGACAATTCTTTGTTCAAACAATAATTTTGCTATGACAGCAAAAAGTTAAACTGAGACCATTAGCTGAAGCGCAGGCAGAGATGAAAAAGCTAGTGAACACTGACAGACACAATGTCCTAATTCTTGTATAACTGTAAATAAAACAGAACGTCGGCACTTCAGGCCAAAGCTTTGACCAAGCGTGAAGACAGTCAGACACACTATATTCAAGGCAAGCACTCATTATCCAGAAATACATCTGCTGTGCAGATAATAAACACTCCTCTGAATAACAAACACAACTTAAAAACACGTTTCATTTCAAACACATTTCATAAAGCGTCATCTTGTCCTGTTCAACAAAGAATACGAGGACTTCATAGACTAAAAATTCTTTTTAAATTATGATAAAAAGTTACCACTCACACAACCAAACTAAATCTAAATGAAAATATGAAACAAAAAGTGTACCGTATCAATAATAATATCCTGCATGTGCAGACAGACATATGTTGTTTGTGATTTTGAGTACGTATATCTGATCATTTTGAATGAAAATTAGGAGAATAAGGAAAACTGAATGAAAAAACAAAACAAAAGCAGCAGTGTGGGACGTGGAGTCTAATTAGCATTCAGGAGTGTGTGTTAGTGGCAGCTGAGCATTTCTGTGGAAACCTACTCAGTCAAGCTAACGGCACGGCTTCGGGGGATGGGAACACCAGTCACTTGAATCATCTTCTTGTCTAGACTAAAATGTCAGGTTGACAGGTCGCCAACAATTTTGCCTTCCAGGAAATAAACAGCAAGCACTATTAATGGCCTGGACAAGAATTTAGTCCAGACATATAAAACCTTAAAGCAATGAGGTGAAAAAACATTGGTCATCTCTAAACATTTAATCACTGAAGTAAGAACAAAGAAACGTTCAACTAACAAAATTAACACAAACAAGGAAATACACAAGAAAGCTCATTTTACAATTAAAATAATGACAGCATGTTGAAATAAAGCTGGGGGGTGGTAGTATTATGAAAAAACGACTTTATCATGTGTGTGTTATATCAAGTGTGTTGCTCGACTCATTCAAGGATGTTTGAGAAATCCTTGCCTCTCCTATGGTAGCCATTTGAAGCTGCCTCAACATTTACTGGTACAAAGCACCGCCTTTTTTTTTTACAAAGCCCCGCCCTGGAGTTCAGTCCTCAGCTGAGCTCACACCCCTCCCCTGAAGCATTGTTGTGAAGATGTGCTGAAGTGGGAGTGTCTGAAACAGTAAGAGGTTCTCAAAGAGACATAGGCCAATTTCAAGGCATTTAGACAGGCTATGAAGTCAAATTATTTTTGATACAGTTTGTGTTTTCATAACAACTGAAGCTGAGATAATCATTTGATTGTGGTTTAGAATTGAACTATGTGCCTGGAAACAAACAATACACTCCCCCTTTACTTTTTTTTTAAAGAGAAGTGTGCCAAAAGCTTTTAGTTATCAGTCATGAAAATAGATCCCTCACCCCACCCTCCACTGGAGGATTTTGCTCAAACAGCAGTGAGTGTTAAAAACAGACAAGAGAAATCCTCCCCTTCAGAAATTATAACGGCAAAATGAAAACAAGGAACCAATTTGGTTTTTTTTACCAAAGGCCAAGTGTTTTGTATTAGGGAAAAACATACCTCCCGATGATAAAAGTGTGTAGGCATGAATAATTTTTTATGCTAACACAGCCAGTGTTTTTGCTCATTTTCATTTAGGAAGTAAGTAATTAATAACAACCTCAGGCAAAAAAAAATGTAATCACTGTGTTTGGAAGATATTTAATAATTTGTTTTAAAATAATCAACTGCATGGCACAAACTGTTTAATTTAATAGCAACACATTCCATTTTTAAATATAGAATATTATAGTAATATTCAGATAAGTCTGCAGTTAAACGAGAGAGCTTGCAGACCACATGAAGCTGCTGCACCTTAGTTGAAACAATAGAAATGATTATGAAGCTTCTTCTAAGAAGGTAATTCAACACAGACATGTTTGTGACTCCAGTTAAGTAAGTCAGAAATTTGGAGCAGGTAGAAACAAAACGAAGAAGGAAAAAGCTAAGAAAGAAATCAATCTGTTAGAATAAAAATAATGTAAGCAATAAGCATTTAAAATGGGAAACAAACTGGGAATGGGAAATGTACCAGGTACATAAAAAGCTAAAAAAAAAAATCACAATTAACACTTAAAATCTGATGATGTTGGACCATTTCAGGTGGACCTATAATTGATTAACTGATGTACACAATATTCTTTATTCTCTGTGCCAAATAGAGAAGATCAAAACCTATGAACTCATACTGTATAACCAACAAACAATGCCATTTTTCAGTCTGGTTCAAAATGTTTTGTGTTTTAATACTAGCTGGAAATCAACTAATGCTGAAAACTTCTGATATTTACTGCTTTATGGAACAGCACACATTTGTTGTATTTTCTGCTAATTCCAAACCGTCTTTATGGACTGAAAACAGGAAGAAAACAAGTGTTGTTTTTGAGTTCTGTGTAAGAGAATTTGTGTCTTTGTTGCTCTGTTTGTGTGCATAAGGGAGGCGGCAGCAGACAGACAGGCTCTGGGGGATTACAGAACAGGACAGGAGACCATAACTCATCAAGCCCATCACTGGCAACAGACAGACAGGCTGGGCTGAATGGTGATTGTGCACTGATAGGAATCTGCCACCAACAACCAACAAAGAGCATTTATCCACGGGGGAAACCCTGTCCTATTTTCTCACAGAAACAAACATACAAAGCTTTTTACCAGCTCAGTCTCTGACTCATCCACATGATTGTACACTTTAAATTCTCAAATTCATCAAAAATTCTCACCCTTTGGCTAAAAACTGGAGGGAAAAAAGTTGTTTTTGTAAGCAAACTATTAATATGCTGACTATATAAGCATGTGTAGCCATCCAGAAATAAAATAACCAAGATTTATTTCTTTATTTTTTTACACAGCTCTATTATAACC